TCCGACTGGCATGGTACTCCGCATTCATACGATGTCAACAATTAACATCAGCAAGAGTTTGACTGGCAGAATTCAGAGTTTCCATCTGCGATGGCCAGGGGGTAAATAAACATGGTTCGTGAGAACTGCACTGAGGTCTCATGTCGTCCTTATATTGCAACCAAGGAAGGGTTCATGCACACGAGGTGACACATGCCACCCCCGAACAGTCAGTTGCCTCTCAGCAGGGACCGGGTGTGATTTTGTGCCAACAGCCCCACAACTCTCTCCGCTAAGAACTGCTGCCTCTTTCCAATATGACTGGGAGGATGTTGCTGTCACCATGGCAGGCTCGAGGATTGCACAGGGCACACATTCGCTCACGTCCGGATCAAACAAAGATGCTTGTTGGCAACAACTTGCATGTGCAAAGGCTTGCTCTGGTGACGTATGGTTCAAAAAAAGAATGAGCAACGCCGACTGTAAACAAAGTCGGCTGAATTTGGGGTTGCCACCGCCATTTGCCGTCAGATCATTGGGCAAAATGGCACAGCTCCGCAAAGGTCAATGAAAGGCGTCTCGCAAGACCAAAAAGCTGCCAAAGGGTGGAGGAGCTCTAAACCTTGATGGCAAGAAAAGGTAACCGAGCAGCCTGGAGTGAACGTTGGGACGGATCTGATGAAGATGATGTTCGCATGTGCTTGTGGTCCTGCGCTTGCGTGGTGGAGCGCTGTTGGACATACCCATCATACCTTTTCACCCACAAGCAGAAAAGCTCACAGAGTTCCGTTCAAAAGAAGCATGGTGCGACATTCAAGAACTGCCGACAAGGACAACATAGGGATCCCATCTGGAAAATTGACAATAGTTCTCACCTCGTCACCTCGGTTGTGGTTTTACTAAACTGGCGCCTCGCCTCGTTACAGCGATATCTGGAAATAGGTATGCCTCGGACCCTGGCGCACAGCGAGGGAAACTTGCACAGAGCAAGTTTTGTGGTGAAAGCCAATGCGGAATGCACAACAGGATGATGCACAGGAAGTGCTAAAGCGTCACGCTGGGCACCTCGAGGGGAGGACCGGCTGGTTTTGATTTGCTTGTTTTTAGCGTCGCAGCTTCCGCCCGGCAAAGACTGCCCGAAACACTTCGTTTCGGGCAGTCTTTGCCAAGCCCAGCTCCAGCACTCCGTTGCTTCATTTTAGTCCGATAATCGCTTTGAAAGCGTAGCTGGCATTGTAGTATCACACCCGCAGGCTGCCCAAAATCCGGAATGTCATCTCAGCGCGTTTTCGAGCAAGCAGGCAGCAGCGGCTTCGGAAAGACGACCCACCCGGCAAAGACTGCCCGAAACAAGCCGGGGTAAAGTTCCGGAGTGTTGCGGGCAGTCTTTGCCGAGCACTTACATCTCTTCTGGTGTTCTTTTGCATCGCCGAATCCCAGTTTACTCCTTTGAAGCAGGGTGACCTCACACCCGCTCAGCATGCGGGCGGTCTTTTGCTTTTTGTGCCGTGGGACTGATGCTGGTGCTGGATTCGAAACACTCTGGAATGTGATCCCGGCGCATTCCAGGCAGTCTTTGCCGACGCTGCCTGCCCACCAGAGGCGTGGTTGGATAGAAGCAAGGATTGGCAGGAGCAGCTTCGGAAAGACGACCCACCCCGCAAAGACTGCCCGAAACAAGCCGGGGTAGAATTCCGGAGTGTTTCGGGCGGTCTTTGCCGATTCTCACACACCCTCAGTTCTCCCCCTACCAACTTATTTCTGCATTTCTACCTCGGGCCATGCCTCGCTAAATCATCTTAGCTACCTCGTACCTCGGCTGAGCTCGCTGTATTTTGCCCAGATCCCATGTTGCCCGGGGACTGTGGCAAGAAGGGTATATTTCACCAAGCCTGAACACAGGGATCCATATGGTCAAGTGAGCTCGCAATGCAGACAGATTGCAGTGTTTGAAAGTTTGCAAGCGAAGCCTGCTCAGCACGACTTGACATCGGCATGCCCCATCGCCCTTTTCTTCGACAAAGTCACATGTCTGTGCCGGGAGAGCATTCGCAGCCAAACTGAGGAAAAGCTGGCTCTTGACCCCTGGTACACCTTCGGTCATTGGCATATGCATGCATACGTTACATACTCATGCACACCGCGTACCTGCGCATACAGAATCGTACAAATGCATGTATCTATGCATGAAGCCTCTTGGAATACAGTGCAATGCGATGCAATGCAACGCATCACAATGTAATGCAATGCAGTGTAAGGCAATGTGATACGTGTATGCGTGTACTGTAATGCAACGAAGTGCAATGTGATGCAATGTAATGCTATGTAACGTAACTACTGTAGTGTATGCACGTATGTACGTACGCCGTCCGTGGGAACGCATGCGTTCATGTATGCGTTAAAAGTAGCACTTCGTTCTCATGTCGGATTCTGAGGAGACTTACAGGTGTATGTCACTAACTATTATGTGCCTATCTATCGCGCAAGCATTCATCCGAACCGAGTGCAAAGCAATGCATCTTCTAGACGGGTTTCCAAGGCAAACCTCTTCCAACAAACCGTCGCCCTCTGAGAGGGGCGCGCGCACCTGGAGCAATTCAGCAGGGCTCAGTTGTACATCGCGCAGGCTGAATGGTTGAAAGGCTGAACGCACACAATCCTGAGTTTCTGTGCTGAAGCCAGGAAAGCAGGATATGAAACATTCACGGGATTTCTGGAAGTGGTTGATTTGATGTTGATGTCGTTTCAGAATTATGAAACAAACAAGTCTGAAGCCGCATTTTGGCATGTGTCCATTTACAGTAACAAGAGACTGTAGCCCCCTGCGAAATGGAGCTGTGCCAGTGCTGTGAGAAGTCTCGCTTCCTGGAGTTCACTTTAGAACTGTGAAAGGTTGGGGCCAACAAAGGGCTGAATGCAAACAATGATAAGAGTGATGAATCCCCTGGTAAAGGATGTGCCTCAACATAATTCGAAAACTCCAGATTTCAAACATCGCTACAACACATGGCCTGGCATTCGACATCTTGGGCAGCCCGACACATCCGACACCTTGAGACACCTATCCGCTATGTGCTTTGACACGATCTTGACAAGCCTGCCGCCTTCCCTTTCGCCTTGCCTTTCGCCTTTCGCAAATGCACCGATGAAGAAACTTTTCTGCGTTTGCAATCCACCAGCGTTGGTTGTGATGATGCTCATGCAACTGCAGAATGCACACTAACTGTCTTCATTTATCAACTCTCTTCATATTTCTTCATGAGACCATTCGCTCGGCAACTATCCAATACTTCACACTCATCGATTAATAAGAAGGGGCATGTGATGAAATGGGCAGGATGTCACAAGGAACATGCGAACACACACACACACACACGCTCACATACGTCTTGGAGCAACCGCCGCAAAGGCCTGGTGGAACCTACAATCAGACCCTACCTGAACTCATGGAGAACAAGAGGAAGGCGAAGAAGCAAACAACTTCGCCTCCCAACCAACTAATTTCCATCCAGCCTGCACACGATCACAGCTTCGCATAAGCCAGGTTCGATCAAGTTTGTCAGCACCCTCTGCCCTGAAGTCCTGACTCTTGTGACACGGGTGCCTGACTTTTGGACAGGGGATAGCCGCCAATCCTCGCGAACATGGCTCTCCTAATAGCACAAGCATCGCAATGCATCGCAAGCCATGGCTTTGCCAAAGCTCAGAATCGATCGGGTAGCGCTAACAATTACCAACTCTCTGCAAACCGTTTGCTCGATTGGCCCAACTTCTTACTCTACTGCAGATTGACATGGACCCCCACCCACACACACACACAAAAAAAGCAAATCTTTCTTCGAGGAGATTCTGTTTCAGAGGTTCCGTATCGCTCTGCAGGGGAGGGTACCTTCCACCACCTTCCAGCCGATTGCAAGATCCCCGGTAGTCCAAACGCAGGATAGATTCAGCCCAGTGCCTCCTTGGTCAGTGATCATTGGGTTGACCAAGTTGGTGTTGTCAGGGACTGATCACAATCCTCATCATACATCTACTTCTACGTCTACATCTACATCGTCGTCGTCAGCATCGCCATCATCGTCATCGTCATCGTCATCATCCTCCTCCTCATCATCATCTTCATCATCATACACATCAACAATCATGCGTCATACATCATGCATCATGCATCATCCATCCATACATCCACATCCATCCGTCCATCGATCCATGCATGCATTCCTTCTTCCTTCCTTCATCCTTCCTTCATCATCCATATCATCATCCATATCATCATCCATATCATCATCATCATCATCATCATCATCATCATCATCATCATCATCATCATCATCATCATCATCATCATCATCATCATCACCACCACCATCCTCATCATCCTCATCATCATCATCATCAAACATCATGCGTCATACATCATGCATCATCATCATCTTCATCCTCATCCTCATCCTCATCCTCATTCTCATCCTCACGATCTTCATCCTAATGCTCATCCTGCCTGATCCTGATCCTGATCCTGATCCTGATCCTCATCCTCCTCCTCCTCATCATCCTCACCCTCATCCTCATCATCCTCACCCTCATCCTCATCATCCTCATCCTCATCATCCTCATCCTCCTCCTCCTCCTCCTCATCATCATCATCATCATCATCCTCACCCTCATCCTCATCATCATCATCATCATCATCATCATCATCATCATCATCATCCTCATCCTCATCCTCATCCTCATCCTCATCATCATCCTCATCCTCCTCATCATCATCATCATCATCCTCATCATTATCCCCATCCTCATCATCATCTTCTTCGTCATGCAACAAGGGTAAGCCCTGAACAAAGCCTTCGATTCAATATGCGTAAACTCAAGTCTTACAGGTGCGGAATGCATGTTGTTCAAGCATTTCCCAGTACATTGCCATTATTTGGAGTCCACCAACTGGATGGTGTCCAAGCCTTGCTGCATGCTGTTGTTCAACTCGATTTTGTCAGAATCTGTGGCACCACAAAGGAAAACCCGGCTGGAAGTCGGAAGGAAGGCGGTTCAACGCCAAAATCGCGCGCCGCGTTTGACAGAGCCCTCTAGGAGCTTCTTCCGTAGGTCTTTGCACCTGGCCGTTGCTCCCACGAGCCATGGGCTTGGACTGGCTGCGACCGCATGTTGCCCATGGACATGTGGAACCTGCTTGTGGTCCTGTTGTGTACAACTGCCAGGAACAAACAGGGGGACGGCAAAAAAGGGAAGATGTTGATTGAGCTTCGAATTAGGTGGCTGTCTTTAGATACATTTGGATATGCTTGGTGTGCCTTTGAGAACTGCTTGCAGAAAAGAGCCCGACCCTTTGGATTCTCAAAGGGGGCGATATTGGGCCATCCCCCAAGCAAAGTGAGGTGTGCCCCAAGTTGCTAAACGCCACTCCACAAGGTAAACTTCCGCAAACAGCCAAGTACCGCAAGAGGACTGAGATGCTGCGCCTGCTGATGCTGGCCAGATTCAAACAAACATGTTGTCCAGCGGCCCGCAACTACTTGATGCAGCCCCCGCTCAATTCAAAACCGCAGCACCCAAAGATTCCTGCGCTGTTCCCAAGTCGTGTCTCGCAAAGCAAGACTATGCTGTCTGTTACCCGTTGTCAAAATCACTGCACTTACTGGACTCTTCTGGTCCCTGTCGCGGAAGGTCTGAAGCTCTCGGGGGAAGCTCTTTTCAGGGACGCTGTCCAGGAACCACAAAAAGCAAGGGCAAAGTGACTGGCTATAGAAAAGGACACTCCGTAAGGAGTAGACAATCACTCCCAACATAGGTCCATGCAATTTAGATGCCTTGCTGACCCAACCACTGGCCCAGCACTCGCCTTCATTGGTGCCGCCGAGGCTCCTGTGCTTGCTTGCAAGATCCAGTATCTTTTGACTAGACCCTCTATTTTACAGGCTAGGTGTTTCCAACAATAGGGGACTCCTAAAAGTGGGCTTCCTCGTGGCTTCTTTGTAAAACCATCCAAGAAGGTTGCCCAGAGACAAGGTATGCGACCTTGCTGCAGCTACCCAACCACTGTCATTGAATTGAACGCCGCAACCTCAGTCATCTTTGTTCCGAGTCAGAGGGAAAGGAGCTCAAAGCCAACCTCCCAGAGTGTCTGTCCTCATGTTGAGGTTGGGTCTGCTTCAACAGTTGCATTCCCTGCAAAGCCACCAAGAAAGGGTTCCATTTCGCTACATGCTCGCTGGCCGTGTTTGCAAAGAGTGCACCAATCATGCTACAAGAGGGCTTGATCATCCAGTGAGGGCCTTCCTAGCCTCACTCACACTGACACTGAGGGATGAACGACTGCTGCTGCACAGTCAGCCTTCAGTGAAATGAACAAGCACTGTTGTGTGATGCACGTGTCCGTAGTTTTCTCAATCGCTTTAACTTGGGCATTTTCAACATGTGTCCACCTGTTCTGATTGAGGAATTCATGGTGCACAATACCACAAGTGTACATACAATCTACAGCAAGATACCAACGTGGGCATGGTGTTTGACCATGCTTGCCTTGACTTGACCACCTTGGTGCTTAGGTCCTGTATCCAAATTCAACATGTAATTCGAGAGTAGCAATGTGCGCCTGTTCCTTGTGGATGAAGTGAAATGAAGCAACGGGACTCATTCAATAGTTGGGTGGACTGTTCAATCGACCAGGCATTGACCAGTGAGTCATGCTTGCCTGTGGAATGCATAGCCGTATTATAAAACACGCGCAGCAAACACCCGCAAAGCTTTTCTGTTTTGCTGGTTTATGCTGGTTTCCATGTCTGAAATCGCGCTACCGTGGCCGCCACGATCCTGAGTGTTGTGATAGCTCCCAAGTTCATTAAATCAACACAAATAATACGCCGACAGCTTATCTCAGTGTTACACCAGCGCCAAACTATCTTCGATCTGTCAATATCGCAGCAGATCCACCGGAGGGTCCGCAATCTTTCCCAACTGCCACGTAGCGCACCGGCCATTTTCTCGAGAATCGGCCACAGTTGCCCGAAAGATCATGCTGCGGTCGCGGGCAAGGTTCAAAGATGTTCGAAGGAACCACTATAAAGTCAGCATCTGTTGGCGTCTGAAGATACACCGCATGAGGTCGTATGACGACCTCATACGCTGTTGATTGAGCGTTCTCGGGTTATCCTTTGTGTGGTGCGACTCTTCGACATGTCATGGGAAAACCAGCTCGGTCACACAAGCTGAGGTGTGCCAGCTTCTGTCCTCTGCAGCTCCCGCAGCGCCTTCATGGCAGGGTTGGCCTCAAAAGATGCAAAGCAAAGTTGACCAAAGCAGCTGGGAACTAGATCCCTCCAAGTCGTTGGCTCCTTGGCCTTTTGGCTGTTCCAGAAGTGTTCCAGAAAAACTAGCAGCGTCGCATGTTTCCACACACGGCCTGTGGGCTGGCATTGGCTTGTGCATTTCCCTTCGTGGAGGGCGCGAATACCAGCGTGGGATGCCAAGGATAGATTGTCTGGCCTTCATTTCTCTGATCGGTTTCAAGCATAAACATTAGCCGCCTCTACAAACACTCGTGACATGATAGCCTTGCAAGCTGACCTGCAACCTGGAGCTAGGTGACTGAAGTCGCATCCCGCAACATTCCAAATTATCTAGAGATCCAAGTGGTGCAATTGTATGTTTCAGTTCAGAGTCGGGTGGTCCATGAACCGTCAGTGATCATGTGACTTGTTTCTGCAACGGTGATGAAATTGTCCGATTGGCGCAACCCCTCTGCTGTTGTCTCCGCAACTCTCTGCTCCCCAAACGTCACATAGGCTCCCGCCCCCTCGTCCGCCACGGAGGGTCGAGCCTCAATCCCAAGGCAAGGGCTCGACGGTTTGATATTTCCCCTTGGACGTGGCACACAACCCAAACTCGCGTCAACTTGTGTTATCTTCAAATTTGGGAACGACCAACAAATCAGATTGCTAGGCTCTCGGTTGCCCTGCCTTGGTCGCCCTGTAAGTCACTACCCAAAAAGGCTGCCGTCAAAAATGACACACCTACATGCAATGGTTGATGGGTTCAAAATGGAAAATCAAGGACTCTTTGACAAGTCCTTGAAGTTCCCTGCTCCCCCACTTGCAATGTGTAGGGCGTTCACCGTAGCAGGTGGGGCTGTTTAGGCTTTTGTTGAGCGTCGCGGGGTGCTTGTGAATGGTGATTTTGAAGTGCAGCTGGCGCTGGTGACTGCGCGCAAGCCCTGCCAAGTACACAACATTGACGCTTAATTATTGAGTCCTCAGTGCCTTTGCTTTTCCACATAAAGCTGTGCCGAAATCACGGCCAGCCATAGCTAAGCTGTTTCTGTTGCAACTCTCTAGCATGAGTTCGACAATGTTCTCCTGCCCTTGAAGAAGCAACTCGCTACCAAGTGAGCCAACACGGCAAGCAAGGGGGCCTCTGAGAAATACATCAACGATCCTAGATTTGATAGCAAAATTCCAACATCCCTTCATGCCAACCATGTTTGCATACTCTGAAGGCGTGGGGTACACCCTCTGGGGTACATGACAACAGTCCTCAAAATTAAGCAGACAAGAATGGCTGATGCAAACATTTCGCACACATGCACAACATGCCCCGCTTTACAAATCTGTCTAATTCGTTGCCAGTGAGAACCTTCCGGTCATGCTGATCAACCTGCCTCCCCTTTGCCGCTGTCTCTGTTTTGCAAAGCCGACTTACTCGGAGTGCGCAAGCTGCGAACTCATCGCTGCGACCACGGCAATCGTAGAATGAGCTGCCGTTCGGCTTTCCTGAACTTTGCAGGCATCGCCTCTTCTGGATCCACTCTTCGAGGAAGCTGGATGTCACACGGTCGGTGCTGGTTTGATGTGATGCATACTGCATCTGCCGATACATCAACATCTACATCTGCTGGACCCAGTCCATCCTGGGCTCGTCTTCACCCCTGTCAACAAGTCAAACTCTTGCAGGTTCATAGGAACAAAAACAGCCGCCAACAAATGCAACTTGCCAATCCAAGGTCCCACATGGTCACACCATAGCGCAGCCAAGCATCCGGCAATCTCACCGATAAGGTCAGGCAGCTTTCCCCTTGCTGCACGGTGTAGGACCATTGCGCCGCACCGGCCTCCGTGGTCGCAACCCACAAAGCTTCCGCGCTTTGGATCAACTCCTCCGCCCACGCGGCTTTTTCCGCCAGCACGCGGAAGGCGGCGAAGTCGGGGGCTGCGAAGGTCCGGCAAAGCCGCAGCGACTCCTCCATCAGCACTTTCCACTGCGGATCTGCCTGGAGGTGTGCCTGCGGTCTATTGGCATTTCAAATAACATACACAAGGTCTCCCGTTTGGGATTCTCCCGCGTCTCATGTTTGATGCAACATGGCACGTTGACACCTGGCCAACAAATGCAAAGTTGGAGTCCGGCACCCAAATCGTCCAACAGCCTGAACGCGACTCAATCAGGCTGCATGATTTGTCTCTGTGCCCTCCAGCCTGCACCACGTTTCTCAATGACCAGTGCAGGTGGTAGACACTCCCAGGACAAACCTCAGCCAATCTCAAAAATGCAGGTACCCGAACGATTGGCAAGCCTTTTATCTTGCATACTGGACCTGAGTCGTAGAACAAGTAGTTTGAGCAAGCAAGCTACACGCTAGGCAAAGCTCAAAAGGCTTTGCTAAGCATCAAACAACATGCCTGCTTGCGTGAGATTTCTTGTCCTTTGTCCACTCCTCTCATTTTTGGGACTCCCTACTCCCTATGTTTTACACATATGAGACAGCGTGAAAATTACTTGTCTGGGGTGTATTCATTCGGCGTTAGGACGTCCCGTATCGTTTTGCAAGTCTTGCTTAAAAAGGACGTCCCGTATCGTTTTGCAGGCCGTGGCTACGGGGGACACATCCTCTGCTCCCTTGCTTGCTACCAAACGGTTCTTTGCGGGGGTAGTGCCAACGTAACAGCAACGGAATGGAAGCTCTCACAAGCGGGCGTTCCGCGGTATCAAACCACACGGCGGCCAAAGAGCAATCCCTGCAAAGCAAATCACACCACGGGCCGCAGATGCTTTTTAGTCTCCCTCAGAGCTTGAGTTGAAGCTCGAGGAGGAGGAACATGCGCTTGACACAGAGTCCTCCTCCAACGGCTCTTGCGCCGCTGCTTTTGCCTAGTTTTGCACCTTCTCCATCAGCGCTCCCTTGCTTGCTGGGTCTGCCACGCTTTCTCTCATCGTTGCCTCCCTCAAGTCCTGCCTTTGTCCAGCGAGTGCGCCCCTGCTAAATCCCAGTCTCGTGGCAGTTTCAGGCGTGCCAGCAAACTCACGCACTGTTGCGTCACTGCAGTCCCTCACCCGCTTGGCTGCTGGAGCTGGGGTTGTTCGCTTCAAACCCAGGGCACACGTGCAGCCGCTTGAGAAAGGACGGGGCTGCGTCCAAAGATGCTTGTCACGCCCCCACGGCGCCGCCGGCGCCGGAGCCGAGAGGCCGGCTTCGTCACCGTGGTGGTCTTCTTCACCTTCTTGCGGGCACTCTTCGCAATCACCTTGGCAATTGCGTTTCCGCGCTCTTCGGCTCAGCCTTTGGAGCCGAGGCAGCTCTCTCTATGCGAGCACGCTGCCCCTCCTGGGTCAAAGCTTCCCACTTCTCCTTCCACACGCACTGCTCAACCCATCATAATTATTCCTTTGTCAGCTCAGTACCGCTGCTTCCATCTGCACGGCCGCGAGGTTGCCCTCTCCAGCATTGCAGTTCTTTCCCAAGACACCCCCAAATGTCTCCTCGTAACTGCAGGGGTAGCGTTTGGGCCACCCCCTACATTTAGCCTCCTGGCCCATTGCGGGGGTATCGTCGGGGTATCATTTAAACACCTTGCTTGGCCAGCAAGAGGGCAAGACAGCGGGACATCCTCAGAATACATAGCTGCCGTCTCGGTTTCCGTCTATGGTTGCTCCATCCCCAGCTCTCCCGCTTTCCAGCTTTCTTCGTAGCTTTTTCACGCGCAGAGCATCTAGTCTTAAAGATCACGCGCAGATGCACGCATTCTTCGAAAGAGCTCGCTCAATTAGTTCCAGTATTGCGCAAGTGTCTTCCAAACTTCCTTGACCAAACGGAGAACTGCAGTTACACCCCTTCTAAACTTCCTTGACTGAACGGAGAACTACAGTTACATCCCCTTCAAAAACGAAAACGCTACAAGAAGGACTTTTGCGCAACTACAACTCGTAATGCTTCTTCCTGGCCGGCAGCTACCCCTGCAATGTGGTGGACACAAGAAACATTCGCCCCGTTCAAGCACAGCTTGGTTTTGCCACACGCGTCTTGTCACAAGCCAGCTGGTGCTCCAAATGTGAAGTTCCCTTTTGATCCCCCTGCCCTGCAACCCTTGCAATGGAAGGGCCTAGTTGCAAGTCTCGACCAAGCAAACAAACACATGCTCTAGGAGAACACACACACACACACACTGACAAGACATGTTTGTTTGCAACCAATGCCAACTTGCTGAAGGGGTATCGTTTTTTTGGGACGTCCCGTATCGTTTTTCGAGCAAAAACGAAAACACAATACGTGCATGAAACACCCCCATATAAAGAACATGACGGTAATTTTGCTGCTAACTCATATACCAAAATCCATCCTTCTATTGGCCCGTTCTCATCCACGCGGTCTTGTCTAAGGCCCAGGCCGCGGCCAGCAGCTGAACACAGCGGGTGTGCTCCAAAAGCGCGGGGCGTTTCAGCCGGGCAAAGGCCATGGCCACGCCCAGGAAGGTCGGCAGGAAAGCGGCCAGCTGACGGGCGCCTTCCGGGGTGTTCGAGGTTGGGCTTCCTGAGTGCCGCATCGAAGGCTCACAGAGGTTTGGCCAAATCCCTTCAACCCTTCCCCAAAAAACCCTCCAACCCCCCCCCCCACTTCCCCACATGCCATGGGGCTCTTTGCCTCAGCACAGGAGGCCTCCACATCCTGCGCCAGCGCTGCAAGCTCCGCGGCCAGCTCAGCAAGCGGCAAAGAGCCGCTGCAAAGGCCATCCAGGCGCTGAAGCAGGTCCTAAGGAGCTGGTTTGTAGCCACAGCAGTCGCAGCATGTGTGTATGGTGTGTGTGTGTGTGTGGAGGTGTGTGTGTGTGTGTGGAGGTGTGTGTGTGTGTGTGTGTGTGTGTGGAGGTGTGTGTGTGTGTGTGTGTGTGTGTGTGTGTGTGTGTGTGTGTGTGTGTGTGTGTGTGTGTGTGTTTGTTTGTTTGTTTGTGTGTTTGTTTGTTTGTTTGTTTGTTTGTTTGTTTGTTTGTCTGAGTCCGCGTTGTTGGAGGGTACCATGCCATGGTACACTTTTCAGGTTGGTTTTTGAGCAAATCGAAAGAAAACCAGTTTGGGTGTTGGTTATATGAATGAAACTGTCATTCAAACAACGATTCATTCAAGCAAGTTTACAAGCAACATCAAACATGAAGTTTACAGTCTAATAACATATCGTCGTACCATTCAGTAACATACTAATAATTGTATTGGAAGTTGACAACATGCAGCAATGATATGTATAGGAATGGCTGGCAGATTCCCAACAAATAGGGGCACATGCTCAAACAAAAAACGGCGCTTCAGCTGGGCTTCATTTATATAACGAGCCGAAAAACAGAGCTCCCTCAAAATAAGCACACCCGCGTCAACAAACGCACGCAATGCACCATGATGCAGCCATCTCCACAAACTTGCCACATCGTGGGTAGCGATTGGCAACCTAAGCCACCATTTTCACGATTGGAACGCCCGTCCTGCGCCCGTTGTGTTGGCAACTCTTCCTCTTCACAGCGGGAGCATCTACACTCGAAGCCGAAGTGCTCCTGGCTCCAC